CTGACTAAATTAAAAAAGGAACGTATTATTTAGAGGAATCATTTATAAACTTGTAACTTTTTTATTAAGTCCTTTCTTTAATTTAAATGATTATCTAATAAAGAATGTTTTCCGCTATACGTATACTCGTGCGTCTAACTCATATTCTTTTATCAGTGCATCGATCCCCACTTAATTCTAACATCGACTTGATTTCTGTAGTGATGATTAGGATATAAGTAATAATAATGGGAATGTCCCAGAGATCCACAAGGGACGAGGTAGTCAAGTCGACCCCACTCTGCTCAAGACTGACCGCATCTCTGGGAAAAACCGAAAATTTAAAACATAAGACTTCGTAGAACTACAAGAATCATCAGCGTTGCGTATTCGAGCTAGTATAGCGTCAGTACTCCGCGCGAGATCGCGGTGACCTTTAATCGTGATAACTATTGACATTAAATTGCAATTTTTAAAAAAACATGCGTGACAATTATTTCTCATGTATTTCTATCGTAATTTTACTGAATATAGTACACTTCATCTCTGTGGATTCTTATATTCTTCCGAATGTAGAATTTAAATTTCTTAATCAGCAGGGAGTTCTTATATCAATTCCGGGTAAGCAAATTTATTTATTAATTAACTAATTTTGTCAATTGACAAAATCGTATAACTAATCTATCTAGATTATCATTATTCAATTTTCATTTTATAATAGACGAGCCAGGATTGACATTTTTCGCGATCCATGGAAATATTAATAAAGACATTGGGTTGAATCAGATGGGAGAAATATCCCGCGAGATATACAGAAAGGACAATGAAAAATGGTCCATTTGGGATAAAGATGCAAACTTAAGAGTTGGGGATACTCTAAATTATTGGTTTGTTGTACAAGTTAATGGAACAGAGTACAAGAGCCACATTGAAAGATGGATAGTTACGAGTAAGTAGCTTGTATTAAATGTATACTATTCTATACTTTGAAAAATAATACGTAAATAAATAATTTCTATATTCTCTAGCTACAGGCGAAGGAGCGCAGGACACGAAAAATTCTGGATCCCTTGTCGATGAATTATTATTCGAAGAATCTTTCAATACTTTGAATAAATCAATTTGGAGTCGCGAGATTAAGTTGCCACTAAGTCCTGTAAGCTCATCAGCGATGTAACACACGACGGGGATAATTGAAACGAAATAATTCAGATATGATATTTTGTAAGAAATAGTACTTACATTAAATAATATTTGTTGCAGGATTATGAATTTTGTATCTACCATAACGAACACCATGAACTATTAGTGAATATTAGTGACGATAAACTTCGTATCATGCCAGGAATCTTAGAAGATTATTATGGTGAGGGTGTAACTGGATATGGAACGCTAACGATTAGCGAGTAAGTATGATAAGTCCTCCTACATTTGCATCATTATACATGTACACAAGATAAATAATTGATTATTAATTTATGTTATAGTTGTACTAGCGAATTACCAGAAGAATGTTCGCGTAAAGTGGTCAATTTTAATATTATACCGCCTACTATATCAGTGAGATTAACTACGAAGAACAGTTTCTCTTTTCGATATGGTAAAATCGAGATAAGGGCAAAATTTCCTAAAGGGGACTGGTTATATCCAGGTGAATGTCTTTCTTATCTTAAGCCATCATTTAATTATCAGTGCAATAATCGGTCGTTCGCATAAGCAGAGATGTGGCTGAGACCAAAGTACAATGATTACGGTACCGGATATGCCAGCGGATGCGTTATTCTCGGTCTTGCCCGCGGAAACGATAACTTGGTCAACGCGACTGGAAGTATTTTCGATTCAAGAAGATTAGATTGTGGATTCAGACAAGGTGTATCGCAAAATGTGGGGAGTTACATGGTTTCTAAAATACGAGAAAATGGTCCGAAGTGGACGGAAGATTTTCACACCTATACAACTATTTGGAGCAGCGGTGGATTCCAATTTTTAGTAGATGATGAAGAAATAGGTAAACTGACACCTGGAACAAATGGTTGGATAAACGGGAGCAATGAAATGGCCCCTTTTAACAAAGAGGTACGACGAAATTTACGCACCCCTGCTTATTACTTTACAATTACATACTATATGATTTTCAAATAGTAAATAATTTTAATTCCATTTGAATAGTTTTATATTAGTCTTGGAGTCGGGGTTGGTGGTATTCGTGTGTTTCCTGATAACACAACTTCTTCAAACTACGCGAAACCATGGGAAAATCTCCATGCGAAGGTAATTTATTGCAATATTAATTTAATGTAATTAATTAACGATGCTTACGATGTTCCAGGCAATGTTAAAATTTTGGAAAGCAAGAAATAATTGGTTGCCTAGTTGGAAGCGTCAAAATAATGCCTTTGAGATCGACTATATTCGTGTGTGGTCATTAAAATAATATTGTAATTAAAAATAAATAAATTCAATTTTTTAATAGAAACTCCATGATTGATAAATGTTTTATTAACTAGATATACGTATACGTATTGTATACCCATCGTACGATCAGATATAATGAATGCCGAGTTAAACGGTGAAGGAATTTCAAACTTGAGTCTTCCTACAAACCGGTTTGTCTCGAATAATATTAAAAAGAATAAAAGTAAAGAACCTAGCGTCTTCCATTTGCTTCATTGTATAATACGCGAGATCTCAAAGTTGATAGACGGAATCATGATTTTTGTATCTGTTTGACAAACGTGTTAATATTTTCGTCTCTGTTCATCACAGATTGTGGACTTTATTTGAAAGATTGTTAAAAATTCATGTATGCGATATCTCAAATGAAATGAGAGGAGTAATTATATTTCTCATTATAACAGTAATTCATTTAAGTTGTGAATTGAATAGTGACACGCGTCAATCAAAGTATCCTCGTAAGTATAATTTATCAAAATGAATTTAGTACTTTTCTTAATCGTACCTAAAATATATTTTAAACATTTACAAAATATTTATATTCCAATAAATCCTAAGTATTTTAATTCGTTCTTTTCCCATACTTGTAGGATACGAATTTATTTTACATAAATGTATAGCCAGTGCGCAACTACATCGAAGATATCAGAACGTACAGAAATCAAATGTTAATTCGAATAAGAATGAAAATTTCTTGCATAAAGCGTATGCTTTATATGCGATGCAACAGAACAATTCTACTTCCCTCCCGTTGGAACCGGAAGTATCGTCTACAAGTATTTCTATAAATACAGAATTAAATAATTCCGAGATATATAAATCGTGACAGTAAAAAGTAATTCTTTAATGAAAGATAATTATGTTTACATGTTAAAAAACAATGTAAATACAATAATTACAATCACGATAACGCTGTGATGTAAAGTAATACATGTACAGAGTTAAAACAGAGACAAAAGCAAAGCAACAAGATTTCAAATTGCAATCCGTATGTTTTTTATGATCATTGTCGAATGGAAAATTAAACAAACGTGTTCATATAATTTAATTTATTTGACTATTAGTAAAAATGATAACATCATAAACTGTACTGTTCATTGTTGTACAGGGTTTGCTTGTTTCACTGATTCTGGTAAAGTTTGTAGTTCCACCTACGAAACATGAATCGACATTACTTCCCTCTTCCGATGTACTAAGAAATAAATGATTTAGAGTGTACCTTTGTAACTTTCATTGCTACCCCCTCTGGAAGATTCCTTTGTATATATTCTAAAAACGTGTCTGCTGTTGAGCCAGTTAAATTGAAGAAATCAATATATCTATAATATGTTCTTGTCTCATATTGAACACGATGTTTCTTATGGACATGAACAGATTTGAGTACTGTTAGCCTTTCATGTATGGCCTTTTTTGGCGCAACACTAAAATGTCATTATATTTTCTGTTTTATTTACTCTGTTTAACTATGAATGTATGTTCTATATTGTGACTTACTGTCTGCCAATAGTAATATCTAAATTATTTGCAGCCATGACTGTAAATTGTCCATAACTGCTAAGAACAGCAGGATCATTTCCTCTAACTTCTATTTCTAACTTCTTATACAGTTTATCAGGTTCATACTAAAATGTATTCAACATTGAAATATGTCTCAGCACTTACAGATTGGAATTAACTATTTCAATCAAAATGAATAAAATTGAGTACCTCTGTTGACTCAGATGGAACATTTGATGTTCCTTCTGAAGCTTCGATTGAAATTTCAGATGAAGATTTGAACGAAGTCACAGACTTTTCTGAAACTTCGTCCACACTTTTATTTACAGTCGCATCTGTTTCTTTCGAAGCTATAGTTGAATCTCCTCGTACAACAGTTTTTAAAAGCGGACATTGAAATGTAGTTGCATTTCCAATGTTATATGAATTTCTGTTTACAATAGTTCGTAAGACAGAAAACACCTAAACAATTGTTTAGGTTAATTCTAACCTAAACGTTACTTAAATAAATATTTTTGGATACTATACCTTCGAACGAAACATTTGGCCCCTATTTATTGTACCTGTGCAATAAATATATTGACCATATATGAAATGTAACTAAGTCTAATAGTAAATGTTTTTCACATTATTATAAGTTTGGTACATACGAAAGTCACCACATGTGTATTGTGTAAACAACTAGCAATGGCTATACGGAGAGCCTTCATCAGTGATCAATGTCCATTAAGGTGCCGACAGTAGCTAAAGCAGTGATCATATATATGTGAATTATTTATAATTATGTTAATTGTAATTATGCATATATTATCAATATGTGAATATTTTAAATCATACATAATTATAAATAATTCACATATATGTGATCGCTGCTTCAGCTACTGTCGGCACCTGAATCGACATTGATCACTCACTGAAGAAGGCCCTTCACTTGACCGCTTCCAATTCCAACACGCATATGTATACATATACGTGGAAATTGCAAGTAAGTATATATATTACCGCGTACGAACGTACATTTAACGCAACACTAATTTTTTAACAATAATTTATTAATAGGTGATTTTTACATTATATTGTTTTGAGTTATTATTATGTTTTGCTGCCTTTTAGCTGAGCTTTTAGTAAACACAATGTACATGTGAATTAAAACTAAAATTAAGGAGAATCTGATTATTTTATATAAATGCGGTTTTATTTGAAAAGTACAATATAAACATATTTTTACACTGTCTCAAAGGAGATATACATAAAATATTGTAGCACGTGTTTTGCATTAACAATTAAGTAAGTCATTTCAAGGAAACTTAGTTTTATAACATAATTCTTATATTACTCTAACATATTCTATGTAAAAATAACAAGATAGAAAGAAAAAAATAAACTTCATTTTCAATAAAAAAACTCAAAATAATTGCTGATAACCGTCTTGCAGTGTAAGTTTTATATCTGTCAAGCTCTGATATCGTCAAAATTTGTTTAGTTCAATGTTGACGAACATGCTTCACATTGTTATTAAAACATAATAAGAAGCATACGATTTCCCCTTTGTGACATATGTAACATATCGTGATAAGAATGTACTAACGAAATAGATTTATTCGTACTATCCGAAATAGGAATGATCCGTAGCGGCTACGTATATCATTGACGCGATGGCAGGCAGCGAAACCAGTAGTACTGTAGTTTTTAGAACACAGTATAGGCAAAAGTATGTAAACTCGGACCTCATGATGCTACGTCAGAAACGATTTCAAATGGGGGGCAAATCTACAGGTAAACTTCCTGTTGTTTAGGTTCTACTACCTGCTTTGAGGATTTCAAGTACGCTTCCCTTGGCTTTCTGATCGAAATCCGAGTAATGAGAAATGGTAATAAGGTCAAGTGATTATTTATATGCATATTACGCTTCTTATTATAATAATTACTTATCACTACATAGTATAAATTTGTCTGAAAGAGCTATAGAAAACAGTTCTAATACCGAAGAATGAATGCAAATCGGTATCCAAGGTTTTGTCGCATTTCGGTCAGATAGGCTGGATGAATCTAAACAGCAGGTTTCGGCATCGATTCGAAATCGCTTCCCATGTTGGGCTCTAACGCGTCCTCCTACACACTCTTGTCTATACTCAATAATAAGGGTTACGGCTTGGTTTTATTGCCTTCTAACTGCTTAGCGACCTACGGAGCCGGTACAGATCGATCCCGCTATGGATAGTACAGATCCTGCTGTAGGTGTGTGTTAAACATTATCGCTAATTTGTGGAACGAAAATCTATTATAAACCTTTAAACTGAGACGTGAAAGGGCGTTGTGATTGGAAATTCAAATTTTTATACTGCCAGGAACCTGTATTCTTTCCATTTTGCCAACTACTTGACGAAGACGTCTTTTCTGTTTCTTTTTGAGAAGCCCAACGAGGTTCTTCAACATTTTGAATACTATTATCTTGCCACTGATTGTGAGGTTTCGCACTATAAGATGATCCTTTACTATGCCAAGTATCTTTATTATGTTTTGTCCACGAATCTCCTTGTTTCTGGTTCTCTTTAGACGTAGACGATGAACTAATGCCCTCGTATTTAAGCCACCTTTCTTTTAAATCCGGTACCCCGTCGTCGCCCCAAGGATCTCTTGCATCTTCTGGCAAGTCGTTCAAATCGTCTTTCTCCGATTGTCTCCAAGAGTCATTATTAACATTCATCTCCATCCATCTATTTTGTTTCTTACTGTCCATCCACGGTTCGTTGTTAGAAGAGGAACTTTCTTTACCTCGGACCTGCCAAGCTTCGTTACTAGTTCCCGGCACATTAGACACTGATGACCATCTGTCAGAGCCCGATAGCCATGCCTGTTTCGGTGCTGGCTTTGAACACATTTGCTTGGAATTCCAACTATTGCCACCGTTTTTCCAAGTATTATTACGATCGGGTTCCATATCTTCCCATTTTTCCTGATTGGGAATCTTACGGTGTCTATCGTCGCATTTCATCGTGTCCCAATTATCTGGCATTCGTTCCGTAGATCGCATCCAGGTGCTTTGTTCCACGGCTCTTCTACTTGGTATGTCCCACTCATCGGCGAATCTCACCGGCGACAGTTGCCGCCTCGGTGGTGACTGTTGCCGCTTCGGTGGTGACACGGGACGTTCGAATAAGTATCTGGGCGGTGACACTGGACGCCTCATTGTCGATGTCTGTTGTCTTTCTTGCGGCATTATCTGTCTTCTAGACATTAATAACTCTTGCCTACTAGGCGATACCATACGATTAGGAGAAGGCATCTGTCTCCTTAAAGGAGACATCGGTGATAACTGTCTTCTGGGAGGAGACATCTGTCGCCGTATTGGCGATTCTTGACATCTGAGCGGTGACATGGAACGGTTCATCATAATTTTAATTTGTCGCGGTGGCGATGGACACCTCGGTGACACAACTCGCATCAGCGGTGATACAGGTCTTCGCAATGGAGACATTTGACGTCTTATTGGAGAACGTTCTCTGAGGAACATAGGCGATGCGGGACGCTGCCCAGGAGAGAAGTTTCTTCTAGGAGGAGAACACGGACCTCTTGGAGATGATAATAGTGGTCGTTTAGGAGAAAGTCTTTTCGGAAGATTCATGCTCGGTTTAAATGGTGAACCTTGCCTTCTTCCAGGCGAGAGTGATTTTCTAATATTTCCGACTTCGTCCCAACGGTTCCTTTCGGCAGGGACACCACGATTCCAAGGAGCTACTGGAATTTGTCCCTGATGCATCTCACTATCATGAAATCGTTCCGGTGCTCTACAGAAAGATTTGTCCACTTTGATGCCTATTGCTTTCGTTGCTGGCACAACTGTATTTGGTTCTAAGGGCATTAAATTTTGGTACTTCTTAAAGATTGGTTTCTTCTCTTCAACTTCCACGAATGGTTCGTTTCGTGCTGTAATCACGATATCATTGGACCTCATTTCTTGAATAAAACGACCTTTAAAAGATGGAGTATCTTGATCCGAATTCGTACTTTCTGCCGGAGTGATACGATCCCTAACAGAGCGTGGAAGTTGACTTTGAAGTTTGCTCGTTTGTTCTAATACCATGTTTAACATACTCTGCAACTCCTTTGCGGTATTTACATCAACGGCTGGTGCTGATCCACTTAATTTTTCTTTTGCAATTTCCAAGAGCACTTGATGCTCCTTTACTGTTTGAACAATATCTATATTCCCTCGATTATTGGACAATCTTTCTCTTAAATCAATCTCCTTATTCTCACGTACGTTCTTCTCGAATATAGGATTAATGCGTAATTGTGGATTATGCGTATTTTCCGCATTCCATTCTTTCTTCTGTTTTGTCATATCGATCCAAGGTTTAGGTTCAAATTTATTGAATTTTTTTATCAATTTCTTCGGCGTTGCCTCTCCTGTATCTGGGGAATGCGTACGTTTATTAAGCTTAAATCTCAGTTTAGGGGATGCATTACCAGTGTGTTTGTTTGCGAATTGTTGCTGTTTCTTCAACGCAATATTTGTCTTCTTAACAGGACTGTTATTTGCCGAAGGTTTCATGAACAGTTTGTTAAAATTTTTCTTAAATTGCACATCAACCTTGTTTGGTAATTTTTTGCCTGCTACTCCGTTGTTCTGTTCATTTGCCTTCTCTTGAACACTTTTGTTTCCTGAACTTTTTGTGTTCTCTTCCATAGCCTTTTGATACCACAGTTGATTAAATTTGTTTAGTGCTCGTCGTTGCATTAAAATAACTGCTTCGAAATGAGCACCAACAGGCAACGTATCAACGACACAAGCTACAACGGGTATGAATGGTGATCCATGGACACGATCTCCAGGACGTGCTAATTCTAATATAGAACGTACTGATTGTTTAGTTAATGTAGTTATCATCACTATCCGCTTAATCGACTGAATCTTTCGTAGACACGTCATTACTTCAATTGCACGGCCGATATTAGTATTCGCATTGATAATCGCATGCGTTTTACGATTTTTTATCGCCGCAACGATTTTACTCGTTACTTCACTAGGAGATCCCATTATAAACGATGCATTCTTTATGTTATTTAATTCGCATGTTAATTCAGCTTCCTCTACCTCCGACGGTGTATCTACTCCTATTACTTGCTGACATTTAGAGGCCATCATCAATCCGATAAGACCAATTCCACATCCTATTTCGAGTACTGTCATTTTTGGATTAGGTGTAACAAAATCCATTACTGCTTTAGCTACATTTTCTGCTCCCGCAGTATTCGACCAAAAGTTTGTTTTTGGTGCGAGTTGCACTTTTAATCCTCCTACAATTTCGTCTAAAGCTTCCGAGCCAACCAAGAATGTCGTGTCCGTGACTGCACCGGTGACATACCTGTGATTAAGATGAACGAGGTAATATTATACGTTACTTCTTTCTCTTTACAGATATCTACCTAAAATTAGTTTTGGAACGTATGCTTACTTATTTGTTCTTTTGCAATATAAGGACTTGACATTGCAATTTTTTCCTGGTCCCGATTCGTATACTTCTTTCAATCTATCCATTGTGGCACGACTAATATTTTTTCCAGTGGCAAATAACATTAGTTCATCCATACTATTACAACGTACAACCAACCACAGCCATTCCTGTTTGTCTTCTGTATCCCTTCTTGATTCTCCGTCCATTGATATATCATCCGAGAAGTTTATACTTGAAGCTTTTTGCGTGATTAATTGTTCTGCTTGAAGAAAATCTTCAAATACCTACGATCAAATGAATTTATAACAAATTAAAACACATTTCTTAAAATAATGCACAAAATGTTTGATCTCTATTGATCATACCTCGACAGCACGTAATACGAAAGGAGGGAACTGGGATTTATTATTTACATTTACACCCCATGCACCACTTGCTTCCAGTTTCCATATCTCTACATTTTTGTCAAGGAAAGAGCCAGAATTGCTCATTGCAAAATTCTGGTTTCTTTTTTTTGTACCTAAACATGTAATGTATAAATGGTATTATCCTAGTTTGTAAATTAATTTTATATTAACATATTTCGAGGAAATAGAATAGTATTTACAAAGAAATTTCCAGCGATTGGTATGCGGTTTGTCTAAACAGCAACGTCGAGATGGTTTCAATTTACACAGGGGAGTTCCATTTACTTTTTCTTCACACTCTAACCACTTTTCGTAACATGGATAAGAAATTCCTAAGACCCTCGCCACTTTTGTAAGACGTTCTTTTATAATCGTTTCTTTTTCAGCAAGCTGCAAAGAATACAAAACAGAATACTTTTACGACTCCTATATTTATGGTACATATTTGTATCATGTGTTAAGCATTACCTTTTTTTCATACCAATCTTCAGTTCCAGATTTTCCTGGTTTCGCTTGTTCCGCAATTTCTGTTTTCGTCTGTGGCAATTTCGTAACAGTTTCAGTAGTTTTCTTTATTTCAATGATCTCAGGCAATTCATTGCGGTCTGCATTAGTAGATCGATTTTCTGTACCGTCTTCCTTTGATTGTTCAAAATCTGAAGAATCCAAAAGTAAATTTTCAATTTCATCCAGATGGTTCATAACAACTTCATCAGTTACATCTTTTGAAGTATCAAATTGTTCTATGATAATATCAGCAGTAAAATCTATTGATTCTTTTGTATTGATATCTGTACTTAATTCAGAACCATAATTTTTTGCATCTAATATATTATTTTGAGCATCATTTTTGATATCAGAATTATTTGCTTCATTATTTGTTGGACTTATGGTTTCCATATTTACATCTTCATTTTCATCTGTTTTTACATTTTCATTCCCTTCTATCTTCTCTTCGTCATTCTTCTCCATATCTACATCCTCAGTCGTCTCTGCATTTGTATCTTTATTTTCTTGCATATTTATATCTTTAATTTCTTCTAGCTTTAGCCCTTTATCCTCTTGCTCATTTGTATCGTTATTTTCTTGCACCTTTATATCTTTCGTTTCTTCCAGTTTTGTATCCTTATTCCGTTGCTCATTTGTATCTTTTACTTCTTCCAGTTTTGCCTCTTTATTCCCTTGCTCATTTGTATCTTTACTTTCTTGCACATTTGTATCTTTCATTTCTAGCACATGTGTGTCCTTCATTTCTAGAACATTTACTTCTTTATTTTCTTGCAAATTTGTGTCTTTAATTTCTAGCACATCTGCTTCTTTATTTTCTTGCACATTTGTGTCTTTAATTTCTAGCACATCTGCTTCTTTATTTTCATGCTCATTTGTATTCTTATTTTCTTGCTCCTTTATATCTTCATTTTCTTGCATATTTGTATCTTTATTATCTGGCACATTTGTATTTGACACATTAACATCAGAAGGCTCAACATCCATAGCTTTTTCTTTTCCAGCTGTATTTTCAATACACTCAAGTTGTATGTTTTTAGATGTATCACTTTCATCTACGCATACATCCTTACAGTTTTCTCTTTCCATTGTAATTGCTTCAGAAGCATCTGCAATGAATTTATTCTCATTATTATCATTATTTAGTTCTAACGAACATCCAATTAATTAGGAATGCTATATCAACAGTTATATCAATACTTCTGTGACAAATTTAACTTTCATAACCAAAGTAAAGAAATTAGCTATAGTTATCTTTGGCAATTCCAAGTATACACACATTATGTTATACATTATTACAATGTTACAAGTGTATAATTGCAACAGAAAAGAGAAAAACTTACCCATTTTCCAAATAATTAGACGTGAATTCTGTCTGTTACGATATGTGAGACAAATGACACTTGGACTGAAATTGATAAGTGAGTTTGTGACGCTATTAGCGTGCACGTATAGGTTTAATGAATGTTGTCAAAGGAAATCTATTAAACATTCCATTGTTATTATATTCGTTCATTTCGTCGTGAATATTTTACTTGCGTACATCGTAATATGGTCACAAAAATAAATCTCTTACCACGTACCGGAAAAGTGTACGCGCACGCACACCGTTATAATAAGAGCCTACTTTTTTTATTCTTATTATATGTGTAAGTTTGTCCCGTACAGCTTTTACATAATCTCCTCTTTATTTCATCGCACCACTTTACGTCGAAAGAAGTAAAATCTAATTGCGCGACCATAGGTGATCATGGGCACTGGCGAACATCAGCAACATGGCGTTCCGAAAACAATCGGCTAGTATCAAGCATGATTATCCTGATAGTTTAATATTTCAGCTTTGATTTTAGGTTTTCCTTAAATAATAATTAATGAAAGTAAATCTTAATTGTTGACGTATTTAGTTACAATATTTTAATCGTCGGACATTTTGTTTCATTTTGTGTATGAGCTGAGAATCACAACGAAATTGACTTGTATGTGAGTTGAGAATCTCTACGATCCTTGGAATTGGCGCGTATTCTGAACAGATTCGAACGTGCTCGCTACTTACGCTTACGCGCAATGAATGAGAAGAAAATTTTATATTTAAAATACAAATTATAATAATGTAATGTTTGAATGAGGAAGGATTTCAGTGGATTATGTTAAGCAAACTTGAAATATTAATTCTAGATCGAGAGAAGAACGGAATGAAAATAAATAAATATAGTTCAATATATTTCATGCATAATTTTATTCATTTTATTATAATATAATCATTTAAATGAGATGTATTTAATAAAAATATTTTATAAATACCATCTTTGTTGATTATGATATTGCCTATTGATTTATTCATATAGAAGTTATGAACTACTATATATAATCCTACTATCACTTAATTTTATTGAATTACTT